AGAGTGATTAACCATTGGAACAGACCACCAAGAGAAGTGGTCTTCAAATCAAGACTGGATGCCTTTCTGGAAGACATACTTAGTCAAAACACAAATTATTGGGCTCAATACAGGGATAACTGGATGAAATTCTATGGACTGCGATTTACATGAGATCAGACTAAAATGATCTAATGGTCCCTTCAGGCTGAAAAGAAAAGAAAAAAAAAGAAAACCCACCCACACAAATATGAAAACCCTTGGATATCTACCAAAAAGCCATTTCTCCCACAAGGCCCACAAGCACTAATCCACACTGGCCAAATGCCTTCGGCCTTAACATCACAGAAGACAAACAAAAATGTCAAAGCTGAACCTCTTCCTCTAGGTCCCTGCAATGAATCTTGATTTATCTGAGTCTATCCTGAAGATAGTAAGCGGTGGAAGGCAGGAACTGTGTTTTATTTGTGACCTGTAAAGACCACTCATGGTACTTAAATAAAAATAGTATACAAGTATGTGATGTTGGCATTGCCATTACTGGACCAGGGACACTAAGAGAAGGATATGAGCTCCCCTGCCCGACTTGTTTTACCTGGATATATGTCAGAGATAAATGCACTTGCCAGCATCTGAATTAACTTCATTTATAAATTGGACCCAAACCACCTATAAACATAAAATGCATCAAGTTAACGTGTTTTCAGCATGACTGGTGACCTTCAGCTTGCAAACAGAGGTGTGATGAAAACAGTTACTGGGGAGTAGGGATCTCCGTATGCCTGAGGAGCATGTATATGTTGGCCGTACTGCTGTAAAGTTTACAAAGAAAGGCTTTAGGAAAGCATGGTTAGGCCAAATTTTCAAGAGAGGCCACTAATTTGGAATCCTCGGTTTCTGGATCCCCAACTTTAGACACCTGCAGCCTGATTTTCTCAGGTACTCGGCACCTGCAGCTCCCACAGACTTCAGCTGGTGTTGGTAGCATCCAGCATCTCTCAGAATCAGGCCTTAAGGGCCAGGTTGTCAAAGGAATTGAGGCACCTAAGCATTCCTCATTGATTTCAAAGGTGATAGGTGCATAACTTGCCTAAGCACTTCTAAAAATCCCATTCAGGACATCTACTCCTCCACAAATGCTAATGGAAATGTACCACCAGAATAAGTAACAAACAGAAAGCATGGCAGAATTTCTGTACTTTCATCTAACATGTAGATGGTATGGAGCTGTCAAAGTTTGTGCAATTTATACACCATCAGGCATCAAAACAAACACTTATTGAATCTGTTACATACAGGAGAAGCTGAATTTGGTTTAACTTTCTTGGGTCAATGTTTTGAATGATTATTTTCCAGCTTCTCTCTTTCCTCAGTACATGATACATACAAAACATGCCCATGCTTGTAATGTAGCTGACCCAGTGATACTTTACATGGTTTGATACTCAACTAGAGGGGCTTCCTTGGAGCTCCAGGAATGGTTGTAACAGCCACGTACAGGAATTAACCAGATTCAGGAAGCAGAGTTAGCATGGAATCTGGTGAAGAAGAAGAAACAGGACCCCTGAGGGGAGGAGAGGGCCTGACAGATCTCATTCACACCAATGCAATTTCAATTTAATGATTCAATTCCAGATTTATACTGAAGTAACAAATCTGGCCTTAGGGGTTCAAATCCCACAACCATCTCTGTGCTTTCCTGCATCGTTCCCCATGCCTGGAATGTCCTCCCTAATCAAATAATATCATTCAATCTCCCATTCCCTTCAACAGTGACTCAGATGCTTATATCAGCCTAACAACATTTTAGTAATAAGAATTAAAAAAAACAAAAAACAAAAAACAGCCTAATATGAACCTTACAAAAACAACTGCAGGATGTTTTGAGTGAGCCTGCTATAGGGATAGGGGAGGGTTATCTTTATCATGCCACATCCAGCCTAGACTGTAAGCTCCCCTTTACATTTGGTCTGATTAGTTAGGAGCTACATGCATTGTTGGGTTTGGGCTGACAGTGAACTTGCAGAGATAGGGACCTCTTCTTTCAACCTTCCACTGAGGTTGGACTCTGGGACAGATGGCATAAAAAACAGATGATTTTGCCCTAATTTAAAAACACCCAACAAAACTGAAGAGAATGCTTAGAAGGATCAGAGGGCATGGAAATAGTCTAGAGATAGTAGAGACATTGGGTCAAATTCACCCAATGCAAACACGAATGAACAAGTGCAATGCCCATTGAAATCCTGGATTCAACATTAGTCACATTGCAAACAATAATGTAAGTCACACATCAATTGTAAGGGAGTCAGTAAATTGGTGTATCTCACAAAATAATGTAACCTGATCAATTTGGCATTCAGTAGGGGTTAAACTCCTGTTCCACTGACTTCTATGGGACCAGAATTTGGTTTGACTGGGACCAGAAATCCCTGCCTTTCTTGGAGGTTATCTTCCTTCTATCCTGCCTGCCTTCCTCAGGACAGGAAGGTTACCATGGCCTTATGGAATAGACTGACAAAATGCAATAGGGATGAAGACTAAGAACATATAGAGTTTAATAGATTACTGAGCCATCCTACAAAATTCACATGTGGAGACATAATTCTACATTAAGTTCTATAGAATGTTTAAAAGAAACCTGGGTGAATCTAACCAGCCAATTGGAAGATAGCACTTCTAACCTATGCTATTTTAATCTTAAAATCCTAGAAAGGACCTTTTCAGACACTGCCAAACTCCCCCAGGTAGCAGAGATAAAACATTGTGAGGATTGTGGTATAACTGAAAATGCCCCCCCCCCCCCAAAATGTAGCAGTGTAAGGCTGTTTGAATTTGCCACCGTGGAGGGATTATTCCATCCTGCAGGACTGACTAAGAGGCAGTGCTCTGCAATGTGGAAAAGTCTGGTGATAACGTTCACCAGCTCCTTGGAGAGCTGAGCATGAAGCCTGATTGGTCACCATGCTATGGTGGCCAAAGATGCCACACGAGATGACTTAATCCCTAAGACCTCTTCTCAGGAAATCCACATGGATACGTCAGAGTTAGGGCAGGTTGGAAGTGAGTCCAAGGAGCAGGGAGGGAAAATAAACTACTTATAACTGAATGCTCATTAGTAAGAAAACCAAGCCCCTATCTATAATACTTAATTGGAAAACCAAGCTTGCAGTAAAAATATGGTGCTACTATGGGCCCCAGATGAGCTGGAGGGCAAACACTTAACTGCATTTCTTAATCAGCTAATACCTAAGGCTCTCTAGATAAACACCTAAGGCCAACGTTACAGAGAAAGAACCTACAGACCTCCAAGGAAGACTTTAGCAGGCCCTAAGGAATGGACAAAACAAGCCACAGTGACTTGATGCAACCAGGAAAACCAAAGAAAACCAAACATAAAAAAGAATGGATCTACTTCTTTCCAATAAAGACCAATTAGCGAAAAAGGAGGGCTCCCTTCCCAGTGTCAGCAAACTATTCCAGGAGCTGAATGGTAAGGCCATTTTATTATACCTGACTAAACCTAAAAATAACCGAATACTAAATGAGGCTCGGTGGGAATGCAAGGGTCTGCCTGCACAGATCCATTGGCACAGTTGTGACCTTAGACAATTGTGTTCTTTTCAGGGTAGAAACTGTGTCTTCATATGTGGTTGCACAGCACCTAGCACAACCCAGCCCCAATTCTGATTGAGGCCTGTGGGCAAAAACACCAATAAGCTACACATTATGTGATGTGAAATAAGCAGAGGCATTCAGGAGCAGCCTAGCCACATTAACCCCAAACTTATCAGCCACATAAGCAAAATGTCTCCCCAATGACACAGGTTCCAAAATTTGGCCTTTAGCCAAAGACTGGATTTTGAGACTCCGGCAGCTCCCTACTACCCACCCTTTTTCTGCCTTTATTTCCATAGAAACAGAAATTAAATCAGTGAAAACAGGGTAAGGGCTTCTGAAAGCTGATGTATTAAAAACAGTGCTCACTTACCTAATTTTGTAGAAAGGAAATAGCTGAATGCAAAGCTCTCCACTATCAGATTCATCTACTTGTGTATCTGTGAAAATGCTGGTTTCTAAAACTCAGTCTGTAGTTAAGTCTCTGGCATTCCTTAAAGAGTTAATTAGAAAAAGGCAGCTTTCATTAAGCTATTAGAAAGTGTCAGACCTCAAAGCATGATCAGCCAATGAGAGTTCATTATCACAAATTCTGATAATGCATAATTACTACCTGCTTGTTTCATTGGTGTAATGTGTTGACACATGATATTCTGTGGGGAGTTTGCTTTCTCTTGAAACTCAAATACCCTCCAGCTGTGCAGTTCAATTAAACTTATTAAACTCAGTTTTGTTTTCCCTTACTTCTGGATATATATAATTCTGGAGTAATTATAATTACTCCAACAAGAGTAAACCACCACTGAGGATGTGAGTGCCCAAGGGAGAGAGCTATAAAAGGCTTAATGTCAAAAAGTATTTTAATTGTAAAAGTCCCAAGGTAAAAAAGGGAAGGAGACCCCAAATGCAGGGTGCACAGAGTGTATTTCCTCCTTCCTCTTCTTATTTCAGAAAGTGGAGACCTGCACAGTTTCTTATCTTCCCTTAGTTTTCGCTGAACCCAGAAGAAATCAGCAATGTTTGCTGAGGATCTCCATTTTAAGTCATGAATGATAAAGCAAAAGCTTGGGAGTGCTGATATTTATACCCTCATACTGCACCAGCTAGTGACAATAATGAAGCAGAGGTTTCAGAGTGGTAGCCATGTTAGTCTGTATCAGCAAAAACAATGAGAAGTCCTTGTGGCACCTTAGAGACTAACAAATGTATTTGGGCCTAAGCTTTTGTGGGCTAAAACCCACTTCATCAGATGCGTGGAATGAAAAATACAGTAGGCAGGTATAACTATACAGCACATGAAAAGATGGGAGTTGAAGCACTGCAACTTCTCATTGAGGAGTGGAAACGGTCCAGTACTACTTTGTGTTTTGTTTGTTTCAACTCTGCTTTGTTCTGGTTTACAGAGGTGGTTGTTGATGGTGGCTCCTTGACGTCTCACAGCAAGAAGAAGTAAGGTGAGCAAGTGTTTTTAAGTTACAACAAAAAATCAAATACAAAAATGAATGACTCAGTCAATCAAGATCAGCATGGTAATGGACTAGCCAAATCCAAAGAGAAGTGGTATCAAGGGACTACAAAGCGGATCTCAAGCACCTAGGACCTCAGCTCAGGTCTGTTGATGCTCTTTTAGACTTACACCTTGGTCTTATGAAAGCTGTGACTTTATACTTATCTTTTGTTACTGGAAATTTATAAATCAAATGAATAAAGTTTTAAAATAAAGTCTCCCTTTCTTAGAACAGACTACTGTCTTCTTCCTATCCTTCCTTGCTGATTTTTAGACAGCCAACACCTCCGATGCCAGACCAGCAATATCATGACTCAGTAGTACCTTATGTTCAGAGGTGGGGAAAATGAAAACACACACACAGAAGTTTATTACAAGTTTAATGATTTAAAGGGAGAAAAAGAGTTCCAACCTGTATATACTGCATATCAGCAGAGCTCCTTTTCAGCTAAACAAATGCCTTCTTACACAATACCAATTATTTATTTAATCTCTTTTTGAGGTTATTGCTGTTTCCAGGTGCTGGGGTATACTGGGATTCAGATTACATTATCATACTTTCATGCACTCAAACAGCAAGAAATGACTCAATTGCCCCGGCAGGGGTGTGCGCGCACAC